TCCAATGCACTGATGAAGATGGAGAATCAATTAAGTTTATTTGGAAAATTGAGAGGAGAGAAGATGAAAGCTTGGATATCAGCGTTGAAACCAACAAATCATTTCACTTAATAATTGTCAGGGTAAGATTGGTAAAATGTCGAAGTAATTGGACTAGATGTTCGACTAGTTATTTAAGAAACTAAACAAGGTAATGGAACTCATCAAAGAGACACTACTTCTCAATAGCTACCCTCAGGAATTTGTATAAAAGTTTCTAAGGAGTGGTGATGTTAGTGGTGATTGCAACATGTCCATGAAGGAATTCAAACGTTTCTGTAGTGTTACCGTACACAGTAGGCACATCGAAAATTCTATGTGGTATTCTTAACAATCCTGAAACTACGGTGGTGTTTAAATCCACATACTCGCTTGGAGAGAAACTTGGTAGACTGAAAGATCCAGTAGAACGAATTAAGATAATTAACTTAATCTATCAAATAACATGTAACGTGACTATGACGTCGAGCATGGGTCCGTCAGAATCGCAGAACATAAAGATTTAGCGAAACATTCAATGGTAGATCAGACTGAGACGGGTAATTTAGACAAAAACTCAGCTATCGCTCTGTGTCCACTAACCCATAATCACACTATAGGGTGGGTGGGATAGGGTGATACTTCTAAAGTTTAGTATAGCCCTAGATAGAGGGAGAGATTGAGTCAAAATTTAACAAGCGCAACAGGAATGACTCGTCACATACGCCAGATATCTGGAACCTTTTGTCACCATAAAACCAACAGAACAAAGAACTGTTCGACTATATTAAGCAGATTTGAAAATAGTTTGATGTGTTTACGAGCGAGAAATTCTCCTCGAAACGTCATTCAGTAAATAATACTATAGCATTAATTGTATGCTATATATGCTGTCCCACAGTGCCCAAGTTTTACTCCTGCAATAAGTGTCCTCAAGTAGATAAAGAGATTTCAGGTGCTACAAATGAATTCTAGTAAAATTCTGATGAACTGGAACATAAATAACCTGAACGGCTATTTTATTTTCAGATCACTCTAATTTCCCCAACAATTACTGCTGACTGATGTGTGTGTGTAAGTGGCTTCGAACTAAATATGTCAGTCATTAGTGTATTCCAATCAGTATTGGCGATCCGCTGACTACATTTGAAAAAAAGTTTCACGAATAACTCATCAAGCTAAGAGGATGTATCACCATCAAGATCATTTAGTTGAGCTTCAAGTATTCTGCATATTTTGAGGGAGTTGTGAGGATTTGGAAATATTTCAAGTTGTTATTCATCGTAGACTGACTGACATCAGTTGGAGGAACAAAGGAAACCTGGGAGCACTGGACAGCTGTTTCGTCCTAGTATGGGACTCCTCAGCAGTGCGCACCCACGACCCCACACCATCAGGGATCGAACCCGCGACCTTCAGTTTCCATGGCCAGCACGTTGCCATCGAGCCACTGGGTCAGAATCCAACGGTCCATATTTCCAACTTTTGTTAGCTCATTTACACTTTCAGTGACTGATCTGTAGTCTCAGTGAAAACAGAACCTCAGGGCAACCATATCGAATCGATAATCTGTACGTAGTTAGAACATAAAAACAGACAAATTTTTCAACTGACTACTGTTTATCATTGTTGTATAATGTTATTCTGAAGCCTTTTTTTTTGACAATTTTTGAAAAACAAGTCATATGTCTTCATCAGTTTGGTATTTTGACTAAGATAAAAGTACTTTGAAAAGGTTTACAGAAAAACTGATTAGCTATTTTCACTTCTGTCACAGATGTATATCTTAATCCACATATGACTTTATCACTTTCCAAAATGGGATATTTTCCCAATATGTTAATCATGTTTTCGCTACGTAATATTGTGCATATATATGTGTATGGGTGTATTGAGGTCTATGTGTGTGTGTGTGTGTGTGTCTGAATGAAAGCAATTGTCTATCAGCGAAATCCCCCCCCCCAAAAAAAAACATATGACCATAAAATCACTGAAAAATGACAAAATATTTATTTGTAGTTGGCAGTTTTTCCTCTTCTGTCTTACCGGTCATGGATATAAAGGATACAGAAGTTTTGTCTCCAAAAGTCATAAAGTAATTTCTCCTTAAATATGATAAGCAAATACAATTTGTTTTAAAAATGTACGGAATGTGTACAAGAACAAATATAAGAAAATGGAGGTCATAGAGAAGGAAGTTGACACATAAATATATTTTGGTAGGCTGGCATACTTTTATCTTACATGAATATCAAATTAGCTGTTGTAGGACAAAAGTATACGAAGAAGAGATGATGATAAGGAGATACTGATGGATGAATAATTTTTGAAGCGAAAGGAAACCCTAAGAACCGAAAATTATGGAGTGCTGACTATCCTTCATGTAAGATCTTGATGTATCTCACCTAGCGGTTGCGTTGAGTTTCTGTCACTGAACACTCATGGATTCAGCAATGGAAGCCTCAGTACTTATAGGGTAGTGGATCTTTTGTGTTACAGATAGTCATACAATGCCCATTTTCTATCCAAAGGGTAGCAGAAGACTGGGTTTTTGCACTGAATAGTTCTTCAATATACTACTGTACCTAACACTTTCCAGTAACATGTGAACATCGTGAAAAATTTAGTTCAACATTCTTGTAGCAGTAGGTGGAGACAATTTGTAATGACAAAGACATATTCACAATTGGATCACAAAGAAGTAAGGCAGTTTTCTTAAACTGCAAGTATCAAAGGTCAAACTTACCAGTTATAAGTCTTAGATATCTAGTTAACTACATTATTCTAACTGTCGTTCTTGATTAATTTAGCTCCTCCTATGCTGTCTGATCTCTTTTGGGACCAAGAAGTCAGATGGAGTGGCTTTAGGCTGCAAATAGACATCGTGATCCCTAACCTCAGGAACCTGGACTTTAAGGCTATATTTTTGCGTTTCTTACACCAAAATCAATGCAGTTTATTTCCAGTTCTGCCACCCGGGAAGAAAGCTACCATTATGTCATAAGATTTTATGGTATTTCATTTTTGAATCATGATGGGTGACACAGAGGAATTAGAGACAGGTTCTCTAGTATGATGTGACAGTTTCAAGGGAATTATGGGTAAGACCGATAGCTGCTGGGATATAAATAAACATGTAGTCACCTTCTGGATCTCTTAATTCAATGTGAATAGTGCCATGTCAGTGACACATAAGTCATTGATTTAAATTCGGTCACAATTTGAGATTTTAATTCAGGCTTAACTATCTCTCCTTATCATTTGTGAGTACCTTCGGTGCATAATAATATGATAGGTCCCTGTTCAAAGGGAGTTGAGCTGAAGGTGATAATAGATAATGATGTCATTCTTATGGCATCACTGCAAGTCTGATTAGCAAGACTATTTGGATGTACAAACAATAAGTCGAGGATATAAATTTAATTTCTGATTTATTTTCTATGTTACATTTGATATTACACCTCCCTGCGTTTATAACTCAGGTAAGTTATCCATACTTAAAGGGAAGTATGTCGTCTACAACCTAAAGAATTATGATCATCTGAAATAGCTGAGCTTAGTGGGAATGGTTCATCATAGCACCCTCCTTCCTTACATCCATAGTACTTTTTTCGCACAATTGAGAGAAATATTCGATACTTATGGAAAAATATTTTTGCAACACTCTTACTTCATGCTTTGAAAAACTCATTCAAAGTACATGCAACCTAAAAAGATCCTGGATATGAGATAATTTACTGTTGACTAATTATGTTGACAGTGTACAGTTCTGTGTAGGCCGAAACTCCAATCCACTTAATAATGTTTAGGCAGGCAGTTTGCATCATTTGCCATCAATTCATAATCTTGCCCAAGACCCTACATGTAGTTTGTGAATTGTATCTCCTTTTTCAATCTGAGAAATATCCACATTCTATGCGGTACCTTTCAGAAATTTCCGTCATCTATCTGTAAGTCCACTGAACTTCTGGTGAAGACCACCTTGTCACCAGTGAGTAATGACTAATGATTGGAGTTTAAATAACATAAATACGCTTTTCAACATTGTAATCAATTTGATTCCTCCTTTAATAATCGACCAGAAAGGTTTTCTCAGTGAGATGAAGGAGAAATTCAAATACCTGTCCGTTAGAAAATGTCGACCATCTTCATTCACCAAGTAAGTCCAATATTGTCTGGAAAACTTTCTAAAACAGATGATTACTGGACGGTTATCCCATAATACTGGTAAACACGAAACCCAGGTCCAGTACTTTGTGCCACTTGCCTTCAACCAATTAACATCCATCAAATTGTACTACTATGGTTGACTTCCTCGCTTTGTGGTCACATTGGAAAATGATCGATAGAATTCGATCTACACTCAGCACTCGATAACATGAAATTGGTTATGCTTCAGTAATCAATCAATGTATCTAATTCAATTTCACAGGAGATCGGTAGCAGTGGCAACACTAATTGATATAGGTCCAAATCTTAGAAGGAATATCATATCTCTCGAGGTTGCAAATACGCTTTACTGACGAGTGCTAACAAGTACGAAATCCAGTTGAAGTAGGACTTCCTATCGATCATCTCCAACCAACTTACGCTGGTAAACACCCTCTGTCCTATATTAGATTAATCACAGACAAGAAGTTTGGTGATAACGTTTAACTTTAAGACAGGGGTCGCTGAAGTACATGACGCAGCTAGAGGCTATCCACTCTGATTCATATCATCAATTAAAAGCGTGTCTGAAATGTTATTTCCAGTGAACTACTCCAGGTTCACTCACCATCAGAATCCATATTGCTCAAGAGAGTAAGAAGTTAGATAATCACAGCATAAATGTGTTTAAATGCGTTGATCAGAGTTAAGTTAGCTAATGTTGTCATACAGTATACATAAATGTAATTTTCTCTCACTTTTCAACTAACTACTTAATTGTTTCAGATTTGAATTTTCTTTTTTAAAACCCTTTCCAATATCTTTATTTATAGTTCTGTAAACTCAACAGTGATACACATGATTCAGTATTACGTGATATATTGAAACGCAAATGGGGACTCAAACCACCTACACTCATTATAACTGTTTTTGGTACAGATTTTGAAAAGAAGCGGAAATTAAAGATGATATTTAAGAAAGGTCTATGGAAGGCTGCTGAAAGTGGTGAGTGTTGTTTATTGAATGCATGTATGTTTGCTTATTTATGTTATATGGAGTTGATGAGTTCATTTCTAAGCTCCGTATATCAATCGGTTGAATATACAAGTCAGGTGAAAATATTCAGACAAGTATATTTTGACATTAAAGGTAAATAATGGCTAGCAATAGAATCGATGACATGCGTTTCGTTCTACCTAGAACTCATCAGCTAGATTGACTAAATTCCACTGGTAGCCAATATTCATTCTTGGGATCAGAATGAAAGTGGTTCCAAAGCAGCCCATTTTCTACCGATAGTAAATCTGGTCGGTACCAATGAATCAAGAGCATGAATTAGCCAGTCATACTATCATAACTACTATTCTTTCAAATTACATCGTTAAACGTGGATGACCATATCATATTCACACTGAAATTGAAAAATAATAATCAAACTGCATCATTTATTGGGTCATTATTTCTATAGATACATCTTAACCACTGTTGAATACATACTACTCATAAACATGAAATTCAGTAGTCTGTTCTATCAGCTTTTATCAACTTCAGATTAGCAAATCAGATGCCTTTTTGAGAAGAGTCGAACTCAACCATCACAGAATTTGATAGTACTTAATTTGATTTCAAGCAATATCATTGGTTTTCATTGTCAACAATTCTAAGAAAATGTGAACTCTTTGGAACATCGAACGCTGTTTGTTCATCCTCATTAGGATGATCAAAGTTGAAGAAATTACATACTGAATGAATGCTCTACACAAAAGGAGTGAAGTGAAAATCAATTTAGAGGGTTCTCACTCAAATATGGGATAATTTTAGGGTGACTGATTCTAACAGAGACATGATTTTAAACAGTTATTCAATGTGAAAGACTGAACATGCACCAGGGAAATAATATTATCCCAAGGGGGACATATATCAGTGACGCAACTCTTTGAATGGCCTGAAGGTACTGAGTTCCATCCCTGGAGGGTTTTTAGGCGTACAATGCCAGAGAGTCACGTATTAGGATGAAACTAAAACCTACTACTTTCAGGTTTTCAATATTCCTCGAAGTGGTGTTACTCTATGAAGAATATTATCACAAAATCAAGCAATCCCCATGAACTTCCAAACAGAAAGGTGAGTTATTAGTTTGGTCATTTATTGGTCACTTAGGATGCTAAAATAGGCTGAACAGGTTCATGATAAGTGAAGGAATACGAATGAAAATGAAACGGTACTAGTAAAGCGTCGAAGTTCAATCATGTGTTCGATCGTGTCACTGACTGAGAAGTTTTTTATTTCACATATGAATTGAAAAACTGCCTTCACTAAGACTCCACATTTGTACTAAGAGTAGGTGCCAACAGACTTTGAAAAAACTGTCATCTAAGAGTCTTACTCACTAGCTTAAAAATTAACAGGTAGTTCAGGTAAACTAACATTGTTTATCAAACCGTAAATGAAGTGAAGATGGAAGTTTCTGGAAATTGAACTGAAATGCATCCAGAGACCAATGGTACAATTAATTGTACAGTAATAAGTGAGCTACATCTACGTCTATACTACTTGGTTGCAACACTCTGATAGGCGTAACGGGATTCGAACCCTCGACCCACTGGTTGCAAGTCAGTTGTCTAGACCAATGAGTCACAGTTTCATGTGCTATGGAATTGCTTAGAGTTACAACTTCGCATAATTAAAGTTTGGTACTGGGAACATCATCGATAACACACATTATCTATACGTCTACATTCAGTACTATCATATATAATTAAGAAGGCATCACTAGGTCTACTGCTGATTCTAGTATTACTCCTCTTCCCCCCCCCCACTTCTACTACTATCACTACTACTCTAACTACTACTACTACCACTATGCTGTTCATTCACATACAACAACTAACATCACGACAGTGATCAACCACTTACTCTTGTACACTTTGCTACATTCCGTGCGCAAAATGTGAGTGACGATAAATCATTCACGGCTCCACAAAATGTTTTTAAGTTTCCTTAATTGCGTTTAATTTTTCTCACGGAAGTCTACTTCCGCACTTTACAAACACTTGTCTATGCACACACACACACATACACATGAAAACAAATGAAGCGAGACAAGAACTGAAAGAGGTGTACTTTTTGGTCACTGAAAGCAAGCATACCCAAAAGCTATAGTTTATTTGTTTACGTGAACTGAAATAGTATTACTCGAATACATACTATTTTAATATGTTGGTTTAATCAATTCAGATGATTAGTTAGTCAGTTAGCAAGTTTGTTAGCCAGTTGCTTAGATAGTTAGTTGGTTAGTTAGTCAGTTAGTTAGCCAGTTAGCAAGTTTGTTAGTTAGTTGCTTAGATAGTTAGTCACTTAGTTGGTTAGTTAGTTAGTTAGTCAGTAACTTAGTAAGTTGGTTAGTTAGTTAGGTGATTGGTTAGTTAGTTAGTTAGGCAGTGAGTAGGTTAGTTAGTTAGTCAGTTCATTAGTTTATTAGTTGGTTAGTTGCTCAGTTAGTTAGTTAGTTAGATAGTTAGTTATTTCGTTGGTTAGTTAGTTAGTTAGTCCATTGATTAGTTACTTAGTTAATTAGAAGTTTAGTTGGTTTGTTAGTTAAGAAGTTAGTTGGTTCGTTACTTAGTTAGTTGGTTAGTTATTTAGGTGGTTATTTACTTATTTGGTTAGTTCGTTGGTTAGTTAGTTTGTTCGTTACTTGGCTAGTTAGTCAATTAGGTAGTTAATCACTCATTGATTTATTTAGTTAGCCAGTTGGTTAGTTAGTTAGTTGATTCGTTGGTCAGTTATTTAGTTAGTTCGTTGGCTAGTTAGTTGGTTGGTTATTTATTCGGTTAGTTGGTTAGTTATTTAGTTGGTTGGTCGGTTAGTTAGTTAGTTAGCTAGTTAGTCAATTGGTTAGTTAGTTATTAAATTTGTTAGTTGGTTATTTAGTTATTTAGCTAGTTGTTAGTTAGTTAGCTGGTTAGTTAGTCATTTAGTTAAACCACAGTCTGCCGTGTTGTTCAAGGTTTTTCCCAGTTGCTTCTCTTCTTTTTTGTCCTTCTTTCCACTCCTCCTCTCCTTATCTGTAATTTCTGTTAAATAGGGTGCAACTCTTCTGAGTTTACTTCTTTATGATTTTTGTGGAGGTCGTGATAAAAATTAAACTTAATAACACCTAGAATATTTTGAAATGCCGTTGTGATGACTGGATTTGCAAAGATCAGTTTCAGAAAGACATTAATGGTAGTCTATGTATCTGATTTGAATAAATTTTCGAATACCGGCGTGTATAACATATTAGAACCGATCATCACTAGGATTTTCCTCCCATTCAGTTTATTTTGCGGTTAATCATGACTGATAGTAAATAAAGTCATTCCACCCCCCCTTACTAACAGTCCAACGTCCAACTTAAAATGTTACGTAGATGTGAGCAATAAATTGTCATTACTCTCTGATATATCACATGGTATTCTGGCAGATAACGTTAAGCAAGTTATTAATGTTTCGTTTCCACTTCTTATAAACTGATTATTCGCTACTGAAAGGTTTCTAATGTAGACTAGAGCTATTCTTTTGAACGTTTTGCGTAATAAAATAGCTCTCAGACTGATCTGTAGGTTTCCCCAGTCGGATCAGGATGATCTAAACACTAGCTGGATGTTTTTCTTAACTGATATGTCGGACAAATTTAGCTCGCAGGGCTGAAAGTTCTGAGACGCAGAAGAATCAGATAAGTAAACCACTGCACGCGTTGAGTGAATATGTTTGCAGGAAAGCGTCTAAAGGTGTGAAAGAATGTTATCTTCAAAGTTCATCTCAGTTGTCAACTAGTGTGAAATTAAGAAAATAGCAAACAGTAGAAAGTATCCTCAAACTTCACAGAATTAAACAGGAACTAGTGAGCTATCACCTCACATCCATGAACACACCTATCTGCTAGTTTACAGTAGCCTGTTGTTCCACACAAACACTAAACATGGTTGACATTCTTGAGTGACCTTGGTTTGAAACATGTAAACTAGGAGTGTGAATAAGATAGAAGATAAGTAAGACAGTCAGGCTAGAAAATGCTATCAACCTGTGACGCTTCAGATTTACAATCTAAGTCGTGTGGGAAGATGTAAACCGATTAACTGGGGTCATCAAGATGTTAGAGATCAGTAAGTGAAGGCTTATTTAGATGGTTGGAAACCGATCACAGCGAAGAAGGAAATATGCGTTTTTTTTACTATCGAAATCTTGAATATTTTTGCGGGTCACCACCTAATAATTCTGTATCCTTTCATGTATATTTGTCTGCTATAATATCATTCGAATTCTATACACTTCTTCTTTGCATGTTACTATGAAGTGTAGCAACAAGAAGTGGTACACTTTTGTGCCAGCGTCTACTTTGATTTGTCTAAAGCCATCAATGAAAATAGCGCATTATCAACAGTAAAATGAAAAAGGGGTTAGGGTGTACAAAACAATTTTTCTAAGACACTTTTACGCTTGATATACAAGAACTAAATAATGCCAGAACACCAATCATCGAGTAGTAGACTACGGAACATTTCCTTTTCAGGTCTTTGCAACCCTAGTTAGTTGGATAAAGTGTATCAACTCACCACAGATGTATTTTTCTTCATGAATATTTACACTCAAGGATTAGTCTTCTGAAAGATTTTTAGTAATATCTCACGCATAGTTACTGTCCATGATCACATCAGTCACCTTACACGATGCATAGACGTCTCGTTGATATAACTGAATACTACTCAGTCAAGGTCACACTTCTTGTGTACTTTTTGGGAAGGAGATTAGCACATATAATATGATAACAGATCCCAATTAATAGGAAGCGGTTGGTATATAAGAGCGGGGGAAAATGAATAGAAATATGTCACAGACCCTAGGGTATACTCTGGCTCGAAGACGAAATTCAAATCTATGTAAATTAATAATTCATAAACAAATTCTCAGTTGATATTCATCACGGAGTTGTATCAGTTGGAGTGGAGAAGCACAGAAAACCT